TCAGAAACATTTTCTTGAAAATTTTTATCAGATAATAGCAACATCCGAAACCTAGCTACAACCTTTTATCCCTTTCTCCCAGATTTCCCAACCCAATTTTCCTTTCTACGCCATGACAGATCTGATTGCACGGGAGGTGGTGTTGCATTGTAGATCCATAGTTTACCGCTCTTCTTGTGTTCCATTCAACAACTTCTTCGAATCCTCCCTTATCAACTTGGTTTCCCATTATAACAATATTATTATCACCGGCGATTTTAACATGAATATGCTTTCGCAATCTCCTGAAAAATACTTCCCAACTGACCTAGTGTTTTCCCTTAATCTTTATGTTGTTCCTTATTCTCCTACCCATCACACTCAAATTTCTGATACTTAATTAGACCTCTACATATCTGACTTTCACGTTAAAATCTTCTCTTCTTCTCAACATCCATTTCTATTTCTTTCATCACACGACCAGATCCAAATTACATACGACCAATCCGTGAAATCCTTTACTACTAAAGTGGTTTCATATCTCAATTTAAACCTTCTCTCCTATGAATCCCTTCAACCTGACCTTGATTCTTTCCAATGGGACACTATATCTTCCTACAATTTCATTTATCATATGTTATCTACCCTAACCTCAAATCTATAATCCTTATTAGATATCCATGCTCCTCTGAAAACTAGAACCTTACGTCGTCCCACTGCACTTTGGCTGACTCCTGAAATAAAGGAAATGATGAAAAGAAGGGATACAGCAAGGCGAAAATACTGTCGAACCCGCTTGCCTGCAGATTATGTGTTCTTCAAAGAACTTCGCAATGCAACCCAATCCACAGTCCAACTTGCCAAAGCCATCTACTTCCATAATGCCCTTTCCAATGCTACCGATTCCAAATCCAAATGGAAAATACTCCGTAACCTATCCCTACCAGAATCTAATAAACTTAGTTCTATCCCGGTTACTCCAGATGATCTCAATGACCATTTCTTATCCTCCACTCACAGTTCCTCAACTACATCCGATATTAAACATCACAATTTCAATTCTGAACTTCTTTTCCTCTCATGTTTCCTACGATGAATTACTATCCACTATTCCCACAATAATGATTATGGTCCTGATAATGTTCCAGTGAAACTAATAAAATCCAGCCTTCCTGTACTTATTCCCATGCTTTACCATATCTATAACTTTTCAATGCAAAACTCCATATTCCCATCTTCCTGGAAAACTGCCTTAGTTTGACCTTTGAATAAAATTTCCAACCCCACCTCATTGCATGAATTCCGTCCTATTTCTCTCCTATCCAACCTGATAAAGCCGTTAGAACGCCTTGCCCAAAATCAACTCTCCAACTTACAAGAGGAATGTTCCCTCATCAACCCATTCCAATCTGGTTACTCAATGCAATCCGCTCTCCTCAAAATAACCTATGACCTCCAAAACTCCATTCAATACCAAAACCTTACTATCCTCATCCTTCTAGATTTTTCCAAAGCATTTGACACTATTGGCCATAACACCCTCCTCACTAAATTGCACAATCTTCCACTATCCAACAGAGCCCTGCGCTGGTTCAAACCCTTCCTTTCAAATCGGTCCCAGTATATAGTCGTCCCAGGTCAACCTCCATCTAAGACCCTCCTCCTCTCTTGTGGTGTCCCTCAAGGTTCCTCTCTATCACCTACTCTATTTGCTATTTACATAAATGACCTTCCCTTCATGATCCGTCAACCCAAATACCATATCTACGCAGATGATTTCCAAATATACCTGTCCTTTCCGCCCTCCGATCTATTATCAGCCACAAAGAAACTTCAAGAAGATTTGGATGGGATTTGTGACTGGGCGACAGCTAACAAGTTGAAGTTGAATGCGGAAAAGACAAAGGCAATCTTAATAGGCTCCAATCACCTCCTTGAAACTATTACCAATATTCCAACTCTGTTCCTACATGATAATCCCATTAAATTTTACAGTAATCTGAGCGACTGCCATGTGAACCAAAACCATTTTACACTCATCAAAATGTTAGATACAAATGACATATTGTTTTTCAAGAAAAAAAAAACACAAAAACAAAACCAATGCGATTGAATAAGCAAATGGAGACAAATTGATATGAAGACCTTTTATTTTAATACTTTTATCATTAATCCTAGAATCATAAGATTTTCTCGACAGGATTAAAGCATGGTAATAACCTTGGACCTATCATTACCTCAGGCATAAAAACATTTCTGTAATTCACCGGTTTTTCTTACCACCAATTTATATATGTATAACATAAAATACAATATGTGTTGAATTCTTTTAATTTTGAAACATTTCCTCCAATTCACTCTTCACTTCAGTTACTAGTAACCATAATTACAAGTGAAAAAGCTATCACAATTTAATAATCATTATTTATGTCTTAAAGAAGTTTAATAATATCAATAAATTAATTGAAATATAGTATTTTAGTTAAAGCAAGGAGATCTGATTTACCCCTAAATAATCAGTATCATTATCAAGAAATAGAAATGAAATAAGAAAATAATTTGAAACCTGAGTTCTTCAACAGTTCTGATAATTTCTATCTTTATTTTTTTTTTTAAAGAAGGAAAATAAACAAATAATAACAATATTGTTGATCAGTGTTATGGGGTGTTATTCGAATAAAATTATTTGAAATTGTATCTAGATAATGAATAATAGATAAATTTTTATTTGTTATTCTTATTTGGTGACCTTTGGACAGATAATTATTTGTTATTTCTTATTGACAGATAACATGCATTATCTATTATTTATTATTCGTTATCCAAGATAAAAATAAGATTTGGAAACATTTTTTTTTTTGTAATTTTAAGGATTTCTTCAATACAAAGGTCTCTTTATATGTTTTCAGAGCCACAGTTTTTGAAAATGATCTAAATTTTAATATTACCTCACTGCGTTGTGGCTTATTTGAGGTTTTTATATTTCTTTGATACAAGGGTCTATTTATATATTTTTGGAGCAGTAGTTTTTGAAAATGATCTCCGTTTTAAGATTACGCCACTGTGTTTTGACTTATTTAAGTCTTTTCGATTTCTGCAATATAATGGTCCATTAATATGTTTTACTGTGTTGTGGCTTATTTGCATTTTTTTGGATTTCTTCGACATAAGGGTCAATTTATATGTTTTCAGAGCCACAGTTTCTGATAATGATCTTTATTTTAAAATTATACCACTATGTTGCGGCTTATTTGAATTTTTTGGATTTCGACGATATAAGGATTGATTAATATGTTTTCAGAGCCACTGAAAATAATCTGTATTTCAGGATTACACCACTGTGTTGTGGCTTATTTAAGTTTTTTATATTTCTTCGATATAAGGGTTTATTTATATATTTTTAGAGCCATAGTTTTTTTAAATGATCTCCATTTTAAGAACATGTCACTGCGTTTTGACTTATTTAAGTTTTTTGGATTTCTGAGATATAAGGGTCCATTAATATGTTTTTAGAGACATCTAAGGAAACAAATAACTTGAATTTATTTATTGTCTAGATAATAGATAAACAGAAATATTCGTTATTCGTAATTGAAAATACAAATAAATTATTAATAAATTTTGCCAACACTGGTTGATATTAGAGCCAAGAATTAAGACATATTAATATAAAAAGAAAACATCAGGATTAAAAGTCCAATAAGTAATTTATTATTAGTTTATGGATTTCCAACAAACATCTCAAAAAGTATACAAAATATATACCACCAAATTTTCTTATAAAAATAAGACAGAAAATAATAAATAATTTGATATAATCCTTTATAGTTATAAGACTATATAATGATAAAAATAAGCAGGACTTCCAAAATACTTCTAAGTATTAAAGAGTAAAAAGCCAGTCTAACTTAATTGTACTGCACTATAGAATGAACTCAAAGTAAACTATGTCATATAATAAACTCCAAAAAATATAGTGCATGATAATCATTAAAAAAAAAAAAGAACATGTTTTTTATTTAAATAAACAAAAAATCTTGCAAATTATCTCATCATTGCCTTAGGTAACGAAAGCTCTATGTGTAAAGCAATTATCAGTTTATAATGCCCAAGGCAATAACACCGACGAGTTATCTTGTAGTTGACAATCAATGAGGTAAAACAGATTATACACCATTATTAAGTGATAATGATTATTATGAAATCCAATGAAAATATTACAAATTAATATAAGTGGACAATTAAATTTAAGATAGAGGGTTGTAATGCATTCCTTACTACAGTGCTCCGCAACCAATATACCTTAAAACACTAGTTGCAGCAAAGAAAACTTGACTGTGTCATGATGGTTTTCCTAAGAATAATAAGACTAATGGAATAACTGCAATTTTAAATCATCCTTTGTATTCCACAATAAATCAAAACTAAACAAATAATTAATCAAATGATAACTTAATTATAAAACTGTTGCCAGTTGCCAAAGCAAATTTAAACTTGAATGAAATAGGCCTTTGGCAAATAAAATCAATAGAAGAAAAGGAGGAAAAGGCTGATATAGGATCAAGATTTATGGATCAAGCTCTACCAATAGATGTACTGCACTACGGTAGAAGAGGAAAGATCCAGAAGAAGGAAACTTGATTGAACTAGAAACTATAATTTTATGAGTGTGTATTTGCACAGATGGTGTGGGCAATGAAGACCAACATCGTCGATGTCAGAAACCCATTTCTTTGACTATACCATACGTTTTTTTCTCTTCTCTTTCAAATGTAAATATAAGACAATGGCTTATGCTGCATTATCTGTTATTCTCCAACAAAAGCCAAGAAGACTGAGGAAGGTGGAATGGAATAGCGAGTACTGTCGGTATTTCTGAAAGTTTAAGGGGGAAAAAAAAAGGAAGACTGTCTAGTATTTTCATCAGCATTTGTTCGTCAGTAAATATTGACCGTGTAAGGGCCACTTAAAAGATTGCGGAGCACTGCCTTACTCTATATAAGAAAGAAAAGAAAAGAAACCTCATCTATAAGTCTCCTGATTTCAGTAGATTCCGTTAGGACAACATCATCATTTAACATAGCGGACTCTGATAATCTGAAAATAAACATTATCATTTAAAATATCAAGGTTACTGGAAGGATAACTACCTTTGGTTGATCAGATTTTAAACAATAAAACATTAATAGTACAGGGTTGTTACAGACCAACAAAAAAAAATTCTCCAATTTTTCCAAGTCAAATTTCCGGGTTTATCAGGTTGGCAACACTCGAAACATTAAAATTCAACGACCAAGCATGGGATAAGAGAAAAAAAAACTTAGGCTGCATTTTGTTTTTATTCAATATAATCACATTTTGCTTCATTGCATTCATTCATTTAACTAGGATATTTTAATAATAAATATTAAATATCATTTAACAAAGAAAAATGAGAAAAAATAATCATTTTTAATGTTAGCATTATTGCACTATCTGTTGCATTGAAACAATTCAAATTCTCTCTTTTTTTCTCAAGGTATCACATACATGACCAACTTGGGGTGAAAATGAGTTTGGGGAGTTCTTGGTATCCCATAATTTCTCTGCTAGTATCAGTATGTTTTTATCCAAACCATTGTATAGTGAATAGAGTAGAGGACCCACAGTTTTAGCTACTAAAAATTCGAAAACAAGGGGAAAAAAGAACATATCACCAGAGAAAATGTAAAACCATTTAACAGTCAAATAACAAATTTTCCAAGAGAGACAATTTTTTTTTTTAATTTTTAATACGTATAAGCAACTATTGTACTATCCTATAGAAAAAAATATCTATCATTTGTTGAATAGACATTTACACTTTTTCTTCCTTAAATTCCTGTGTGTTGTCATACATTGAGTTGTTTGCAGTCCCAGTCCATCTAGCTTACTGATCTTTGTCCTCAGCTAGTTTTCTAATCTCCGGGATGGTGTGTCCTCTTGTTGCTCCCAGTTTTCCAATGAAATCGAAGTACATGCACCTGGGTCTGCCACGAGGGTATCTTCCATCTGGTCTGGCTTCCAAGTACTACCTGACCTTTCTTCTGGTATTGTGTATTCTACAGACGTCCATACCATTTTAGTTACATTCTTGCATGATGTTGCATACTGATTTGACACCCAAATCCTCCCAAATTCTTTAATTTCTGACAGTTAATCCTGATCTTACCAACTATTCTTCGGAGGAATCTCATTTCAGCTAATATGATTACACTTACATGTTTGTCGAGGATTGTCCAGCTTTCTGAAGCATACAGAAGAACTGGGAGGAACATAAGATTTAAATATCCAAATTTTGGCATCTCTACTCACTTCTTGCTTGCCCAATGATAGTTTTAGATATTTGATGGTATAGTCCATTGGCCTTCGTCACTTGATTTAGAACCTCCTAGTCTACCTTACCATCATTACTTATTATGGTTCCTAGGTATGTATAAGTATTCGTTAATTCTAAGGGTTCACCAATACACAAAATCCTAGGCTCCATATTTTCTCTTCCGACATGCTTTTTTTCTATTTGGACTTATTTGCAAAACCTCTTATATTCCGTTCCTCATTCGATTTATCCAAAGATGCCTCCTAATCTTGGGTATCAAGATGAAGAGTCTCCTGGGAGTTAGCTATCAGTACAATACCATCAGTATATAACAGGGCTTAAGCCAGTATTGAGGTTAGGTTCCAAATTTCTACTAATGTTATTGGAAATCTCCTTTTACACATCTTCCATATTTCATCCATAAGAAGAATGAATAGGAGGAAACCAAGGCTGTTTCCCTGTTTTACTCCCTTATAAAAGTGAAAAGACCGCAATGTCTGACCGTTAAGTCTTACAATGCCCTTTAAATCTTGGTACAATGGTTTAATGACATTCGCCAGGTTTGCTGGGACTCTTCTTGTCATTAGTGTATCCCATATCTTCTGCAGAGGCAGAACAATATTTTCTTAAGAAACATGAACGGGTATTTTTTAAAAAGTAATACTGCAACATGGAATAGTGAGAAAAGAAAATCCCTATTTATTGCATTATCAATCAGTTAAGAAGTTCTGTTCAGTAATCTTTCATATTTAATAGGAAAAAAATTAAATTACATCATGAAGAGAAGAATATAACAAGGTATGAGAAACATAAGTAGTGTAGGTAAAAAAAATTAAAGTAAAATGCAGTTGTTAGAATGATGACATTAGTAAGAACTAAGAGATAAATAATAATAACCGTTACAAAGTGTGGAATGATGAAGTAAACATAATCAAAAAAAGTGACATAAGTTTTAAAATGGGAATCTTAGAATAAAATCTAAAACACAAAAAAGGAATATAAAGTTATATAAGAAATGAAAATAAATAGTAAAATTAAGACATTGCGAATAGAATAGTTAGATAGAAAATTGAGATATTGTAAAGTCTATCAAGAAGTACAGACAACGTATAATATAATAAAGAGTTAAAACAGAGAAAAGGAATGAAAGGAAGGAGGAAAGAAACTGAGAAGGCTGAAATAAGAAAGAGAAAAAGAAAACAAACCTGTCTCCAAAAAGTGTTACCAGAGAAGTGAGTATGGTAGCCAGGGAGGGGGAGAGAAGAGATGTATAGTGGCGTCATCTCTAACGGTTATCTGACGAAGTTTGAACTAAAGTACCGGAAGCGTAAATTAGGACGAGAGATATATTACTCATAAATATTATGGATAATTAAAGGAAAGTTTAATAGAAAGAGGATGGAAAATTCTGGAGAGGCAATAAAACAAAGATAATAACTGTTGAGTAATATTGGAGAATAATTGAAATTAATACATCTCATATATGTATATATATATATATATATATATATATATATATATATATATATATGAGATGTATTAATTTCAATTATTCTCCAATATTACTCAACAGTTATTATCTTTGTTTTATTGCCTCTCTCTCTCTCTCTCTCTCTCTCTCTCTCTCTATATATATATATATATATATATATATATATATATATATATATATATATATATATATATATATATATATTAAACCCAATATATATATATATATATATATATTAAACCCAATATATATATATATATATATATATTAAACCCAATATATATATATATATATTAAACCCAATATATATATATATATATATATATATATCATTGAAGGAAGTTAGTCGACTGTTCTACATATCATGGGTGATTAATATTCAGGACGCAGTCTTTTTTAAAAAAATTTTTATTTTTGCCAACGTTTCAACCCAAACATCAGGGCTGAAAATGTTTTTTTAAAAATTACAATCTGAGATATAATAGTATACGACCGCTAATTATAAATAATAAACTATAGTGATTGATGGCACATGAATCTTAACTAATATTGTAATACACATATTAAAATAGTTATACAAACTAAAAATAAAAAATAATGTATAAACGTTGGCAAAAATAAAAATTTTTTTAAAAAAAGACTGCGTCCTGAATATTTATCACCCATTATATATATATAACCCATTATATTATATATATTATATATTATATAAGTTAAGCGTCGTCGGACGTAAGAAATAAAAAAAAAGAAGGAAAAGGGAAAAGATGTAACATACACGACTTCTGAAAATAACACTGCTTTATTCGTTCCATAAGCCTCCTTATATACACTTAGCCTGTTTATTTACATTACCAGATAGTATTAAGGCTGATACCGCCAGTCTCCGGTCTTTATCTCCCCCCCACCAGTTTACGAACAGGATTTTCGGAAACTTAAATATTGCTAGATCGGAGCCCACGGTGACCAGCCTTAACACTTTACAATTGGTTTCACAGTATATCCTTAAAAGAAAATAAAATAGTTCCACTCAACTGGAGAAATAATAACTAAAGAAAAAATAATTAAAAACACTGAAACTAAACACAGCACTTTAGAACTCCTACCACTTGAGAACTCCTAACAACAACAAAAAAAAACACAATTTCCTCTATACATGAAATAATACAACAAAAAAAAATTTTTTACAACTTGTTTTGTTTTGACAGCCACAAAAAAAACATATTTCTCTGTTTTATATACAGCGGTGAGGGTACTACGAATCCGTAGGTCTATGTCCCGACTCTATCATTGGGAGCTTTAATTGTTCGATATGAACGGTTCTCCTCTTTCTGGGCTCATTCACGCTCTCAATAGTTACCAGGTTATGCTCCCTAATAACAACCACTCTGAATGGACCCTCGTACCGTAGCAATTGTTTCCCTCTGTTGGTTCCCAATTTCCGGTAAACTATTGTTCCTATTTTTAGTTCCCCCATTTGGTCGCGTACCTGTACATTCTGCCTTTCCACCCGCTTCTGCTTTTCCCGCTTAATTCTCGCCGTTATCTTTCCCCATGTTTTCTCTACCTCTACCCTATTGCTGAGAATTTGATCCACTAACGGTTCGGTAAGCGTAGTTTCCCCATAATCCCGCCTTGGCCTGCGCATCCCGAATAGAACTTCCATGGGTGAAAACCCCGTTACGGAGTGGATCGAGTGGTTATAGGCTGTTACCGCTTTCCGCATTGCCACATCCGGCTCCAACCCTTTCTCACCCTGATATACACGGACATGGTCGCTTAACGTACTGTGCAGCCGTTCAATACCGCCTCTACCTTTAGGATGTCCTGGGGTGTTATAATGCCACGCAATTTCCAATCGCTTCACCTCCTCCCTAATCGCGGCATTGTCGAACTCCCTACCACCGTCCGAAGTAATCCTCTCGGGGACCCCATAGAACTGCACCCAGGTTTGTAGGGCTTCCGCAACTGCATTGGCTGACTTCTCCATCACTTGGTATGCCATCGCCACCTTGCTGAATATGTCGATTACCGTGACCCACTTAAACCCTTTCCAGGTAAACGTGTCAATCTGAAGGTCCTGTAGCGGCATATTCCCTGTAGGTGTCTCCTCCTGAACTCCTCTGGGGGGGTGTCGATCGTATTTTGTGCGCATGCATATCTCGCATTTCCCAATGACTTCCTGGATGGACCTCTTCATGCCCCACCAGAAATACTTCCGACGCAATGCCTGCAGCGTCTCATTAACGCCTCGGTGATTGGTTTTCCCTT